ACACCACACCACACCACACCATACTACACCACACCACACCACACCATACTACACCACACCACACCACACCATACTACACCACACCACACCATACCATACTACACCACACCACACCACACCACACCAAATGAAATTAACACACAAAAAAAAAACTAACACTGACAACAGCTACAAAAGTAACTACAAAATTTCTCTATTAAGTCGCCAATGAGCATGCGCAATTAACTACAACAGAAGAAAGGAACTGTTCAAATATAGAACAACTCTTTGATTTCAAACCATTCATAATGCATATACTAAATAAATTCGTCATGGCCTGTTTGACTAGTATGACGTATTGCCAAATAATCAACATGAAATTACATGGATGTGATCAGAATTCTAACCTGTTGGCGCTCCCTCCATTGGGATAWCCTAGAGCCAAAAACGACCTTCTAAATCTCCCTCGCCAGAAGGARTAACAGCACTCCTGACCCCATCCGTTCACAGCAAACGTCGAGTAGAAACAAATACGTGAAAATTCCGATACAATTATAAAGAAACGTCTGTCTCTCAGTGCYTGCAATGCAGTGCAAGGACATGGTGGCAGGAAGAAAAAGTTAGGATTGGGCTGACTYAAGTACCAGCTGATACATTGAGTATAGGGACTTGAGCCTGTTGATTCATCTAAACGAATGAAAATCCTKCCTTTTATTCCACCTGGAGATACTTGAAAAGACTGACTTTGAGATGATTTGAAGACGTTTTCTCCTTCTATGGAACCAATTTGAACAATATTGACACGTGCAGACCTGGAAAGACACATTCAATAATCASWGTTCCTATTTCATTGTGGCTTCACAGGATGTTTTCATCGGGGAAAGATGCTCAAGAACAGTGRAAATTTGGACCCATTTATGTTCTCTCTGTGTATCGTATTTTGGTATATGTCACTAATATCAAAGATTGCTCATGTACACCGATTTGATATGTAGTTCCTCTGATCCCCTCTGGCGACCATAATTCTTAGCGTTAAAGCAATGAAATGTTTTAGTGATAAATACGGCAATTCTTCAATGCTGTACTCATAGCGCACGGTCTCRGATTTTGACTAAAGGGGTAACAGAATTCTACTTAGCCAATATAACAGCTACATAAGTTTGGGAATAGGGTTATTTTATTAACAGAATCAGAATAGAAACGSGCGCGAAACTCAATGTTTTGAAAGTTCTTGTCATGCACGACGCATTATGACCATTTACGACAAAAGCAGTTTTGTAAATACTCTCAATAAGCCATTATTCAAYACATTCCAGTTTTCCTCGTTCGTGCTTTGCCTTGTTTTCAAAGTTTTTCCGGAACAATAATTACTTCTGCAATTACATTTCTCTCAAACAATCAAAAGGAATTATTTTGTTAAATGTCGATTCCAATAACGTTTCTGAAGACACAAAAAAATCGTTTTTTTTAATCAAACAAGGAACAATATAAACAATGAAATTCCTCAAGAATGTCAGACTGCTAATCTACGCATGCGCATGCATGTACTACCCGCTGACCACAAGCGATGCGAACGAGGTTTTGGAACAATGTTGACAATTTCAATTTGTGCCGTCTTGAAAACCAATCTTACCGTTCATGGTTGTAAAATAGATTTCTGGAGCCTCCAACGTTCAGGCCCACGACGGGAAGGCCTTTTTCGAAGTAATAACTAGCGAGGTCTTGACTGAGGAATGAAAAGAAAATGGATTAAATATATATATGCACATGAAGCACGATCTAGAAGTGAAAAGGTTAATCCGATACTGCAAASGTAAACCAACGACGCTTTGGATGCGAATTTAGCAACAGCAATAGCTAACGTCAAGAATTTTTTTTATTCCATTTCTTAAAGAGATAACAAAAAATCAACTTGATTACCTTGCAGTTTGGGCAGACCACTGGATTCCATTAGAAGGATAATTGAACATGACAAAATAGTAGATTCCATCAKTAACCAGAACGGCTTGAAACGTATTGCTCTAAACACAAACAAACAGCATATYATTTCACTTTATGTTAAGAGTGTGTCCAATTTGATAGCCTCTAACTATGACGTCTGATTCATTCCGGCATTCCGTACTCCAGCACTCCGTATTTCCCATGGGACCATCCAAAAACACTTGCATAAAAATTTGTTTAATTACTTATTAACAACAACAAAAATCAGTTTTCATATGTACATATACATAATTACAACAAGGGCGAAACCAGGGGACGACTAGGGTGGCTTGCCAACCCCTTTTAGGCTTCAAAAATACAGAAATAAAAAGAAGAAGAAATCTGAATGGGTCTCATAGCGATCATCTTAACGAAATCTCATATTCAGCAGCCCTAAATCTGTACATTTGATATTTTTCTTGAGTTAGTCACCTCCCTTTCTGAATCTTCCACTGCACACACACACTTTATTCAAAAATGTGCTAATGCAAAGATGAACCGCTTACCAAACSAAAGAGATCGGGTCGACTTGCCGAATCTCGAGGACGCAAACCTTCCCAGGTAATTACCATGACCCACGATGCTTCGCCAAACTTGGTTGGAATTTGATTGTTTTGGGTGTGTATATTGACATCTTCGGTGGCTTTTTTCAGGACGTTTCCAGTACGTGCTTTCCCATCATCTTTTTGGTAAATTTGGTAGAATAACTTCGACGCTCCGTTTCTGAATGCATCAATATTTATCAGCGACCAGTAGACAGCTAACATTGGTTTAGTTTCAAACAAGTAATCGTAATATCCAAARTTTTTCGGCCAATATCGATACCATGGATCGTCGAMACTTATCAAACCATTTGGACAAACCTGAAAATATCATATTACTGTCGATYATCTCATAAGCGCTGCATTGTTCTGTTTCAACATTGAACATTTCATAAATCCCAAATCCCCGCCATCTTGAAGAAGAAAAAATCAATGTGGTGATGAATCCACATGGAACCATTTTTCATTCATCTTTATGACGTCTTTTCGTTCTGGTTCACTGATACTGACRWWTTKTCTCTAAWTAGCCGCTATTTGTTAGAAATTAGTTTGATTTTATTTCATGGTTTTCCTGCGTTTGCTCTAATACTTKCGGATAAAACTATTGGAGTCGACRGTTCACACCTGTAGCTGTATTTATGTTTGCCGTATCTTTATTACAATTGAGTTTTGAAGGTCATTTAAAACTGCTTGCTGTAAGCGAGCAGTCTTAAAGCCTGTTTCTAAAATATTTAGGATACTACGCGCGCTGTGATTGGTCGAAAACCATGTTTGATTACAGTATCAAAACACGCTCGCGCGCGTCAAAAATTTCTTTTTTCCCGCCGTTTGCATTTGTTGTTGTTATCATTCATATTCAAGAACAATGAACGAAGAAACGCCTATTTATGTCCTCTGGGATGATATCCCAGAAGAAGAGCTATCAAACGTTTTAGAAGCTGCAGAAGCTGCAGACAACTGCAATGTAAGGAGAATTCATCGTGTCATATCGTATCAAAAGTCAGAATTCTTTACAATTTTCGTATTCTTTTAATTTTAGAAAAGAAATAAAAGACGAAATTCCGTGTTTGATACTCTGATCAAAACACTTGGGATGTAGGGGGAGCACTCGAAAAGCTGGAAATCACTCCGCTACGCGTCGTGGTTTCTTACGCTTCTCTCGTGCTCTCCCTACATCCCGCGTGTTTTGATCAGAGTATCAAACACGGAATTTCGTCTTTTATTTCTTAAATAAAAGGTCGGAGTAAAGTAGTATGCAAATCAGGACAAACCTCTTGCTCATATCAAGATGCGTGATGATTTTCCATTTGGATTTACTTTAATATAAAAATTAGGTAACACCTAATAGCGGAGCTCCAATAGCAATATAGAAGCTGAAAATGATTATCTAGTACTGCTATTTCAAAGGTAGATGCTTTGTTCTAAGGAATGTGAGCTACAACAGTTTTGTTGACATGCGAACAAATATTATAAAGAGTATGTTTATGAGAATTTAGTTCGTACTAATATTGACTTCGGTAGACTTTGTTCCGTTGGATGAAGTTTAAAATTATAATCTATAAAGGTCAATTGATTAAAAGTAAACTGAAAGCTTCTCGGCAAAAAGTAGTCTGCATAAGCTTACAATAATCAACATTGTTTCAATAATCGATGTTTGAACCCGGACTACTCCAACTTCACATAATCACAGAAAACTGTATACAAAAATATATTTTTACCTTTATTATCGAACTTCCGATAAATTATCGTTCAAAGGTCATCTTCAACAGAGCCATACTTGTTTCAAGGATAGGTTTGATCAATTTATTAAGTCATATTTGTTTTTAATCTCTCTCAATCTAACTGCTAGCATGGACTTGGTTTCGAAATGTCCACACTTTTAGTCGACAAAAGAACTTCGCATAGATCCCTACTTTTTCCCATATTGGTCCATATTATTGAAGTATTTCCAATAAAGTATCATCTCTTTTTGTTGTCGAAATATCAAAGTAAAATCCTTCTTTCTAATATCACTTTTAASATGGGCCTAAATTGCTTTTCATCTTCGCAAATCGACTTCCCGGATGTGCGGACGCGTCGAAGTTATGACAAAATTGGCGGGAATATTCACTGTGCTGTTATTTCGCTCTTCAGTGGATTTTTTCCTTGTTATTAATTGTTCTAATATTATCAATATGTAATATAAATGTTTAAGGAAAAAATTTCGATTTTTCAACAAATACTTGGCGCTTTGTTTCCTTTTCGAGCAGAGTATGGGTTTCCTGTGGTGGTACACGGAATCCTGCAGGACGGCGCAGGACGGACGGAAGGACGGACGGAAGGAAACGTGCGTACGCGCGGGAACCCTGTGTCGGTCAATGGAAAATCGACTCCATGGTATACCATTTTTTCTTAGCTATGGTGCTCCGCTCGCCGCGCGGGAGCTCCGCTATGAATTATTAAAATGAATTTGATCAATAATAACTATTAGTTAACAAGTAATACCGACCTCAATTTTGGTGAATATTCTTCCGAAGTATTGGAATCCTCTAAGGCCAATGTCAATTTCAAGGCATGTTATTTCATCAAAATCCCTATTATCTGTACTGTCACCTTCTGCAACTCCATAGCTGTACATGGACTGTCGCTGAACCGCGGGCGCGGTGGTTGTTGCTTGAAGAAAAATAATAAAAGAAAGGTTAGAACAATGACTTCTGGGAGCTCAAGTACTTAAGTATAATAGTAGTACTCTATAACATGAGCACAAAACCGCGCCTCATGCCGTCCGCAGGGCCGTTTACACAGTCTTCTTTTCCGTCTTTGTCTGTGTGATAGACACTTTGTTTCAATTTCAAGAACCAATCAGAATTGGCAGAAAATTATCTTATAGGTTTTTAAGGCTTACCAAGAAAACGAAGAAGGGGACGAGATTGTGTAACAAGCGAATGGGTCAGGTCTGGGAACAAGGTTGAGTTGCTCTTTGAACTTGTCAATAAAAACAATGTTTTACGATACTTTGGTATACGGTTTACTCAMAAGACCGGGACAAGACGAATGATTAACTGAGATTCCTACTCCAGCCTCAGGTACRTGTCGCTAGCCTTGGAACCGCTTAAAATGAGTCGATGGAAAAATGCCGATAAGCACAGCGATTTCAAAACGAAACTTTTCTAACTACGCATAATGACCAGTCGATATMAGAACATCATTTGAAAAATGTTTCACTGTCTCAGTTATGAGAAACGAAACAAATCTCSGGRTAAAAGAACAAGTAAAAAGTTCAACTAYCGCAGAAATACAATGATATCRTTGYACTTAGCGATTGTATATTCTCGGTCGACAAAAAGCCGAAAYAWGTGAGAGCCCGATATAATGAATTTTAMAATAAATCCGAKMCAATCCTCCAAACWCCCWTCCGAAAWAATCTCGACATCTTTTAGTGTGAATATAACACAATTAAAGCGTGTGTGATTTGAAGATAATTTGAACGTATTTGTAAGGTTTGAATCTATTTGTGACTAGCGACGACGACGACGAAAACGGAAACCTAACATGAGAATCTTGTGGAAACCCGAGTAACAAATTTTCAATCAATTAAACAAGACAAAAGATACGCTACAACTCACTAGTGGATTCTGTAGTAGTAGACGCTTCAGTCGTAGTTGAAGTCTGTGTTATAGTAGACGCTTCAGTTGAAGTTGAAGGGACTGTTGTAGTAGACACTTCAGGTGTAGTTGAAGGCTGGGTTGAAGTAGACGCTTCAGTGATAGTTGAAGCCTGTGTTGTAGTAGCATCTGTTGCGGTAGACGCTTCAGTTGCAGTTGAAGGCTGTGTTGTAGTAGACGCTTCAGTTGTAGTTGAAGTCTCTGTTGTAGTAGACGCTTCAGTTGCAGTTGAAGCTTCTGTTGTAGTAGACCCTTCAGTTGTAGTTGAAGCCTCTGTTGTAGTTGACGCTTCAGTGGTAGTTGAAGCCTGTGTTGTAGTAGCCTCTGTGGTAGTAGACGCTTCAGTGTTAGTTGTAGCCTCTGTTGTAGTAGACGCTTCAGTGGTAGTTGAAGGCTGTGTTGTAGTAGACGCTTCAGTGGTAGTTGAAGCCTCTGTTGTAGTAGACGCTTCAGTGGTAGTGGAAGGCTGTGTTGTAGTAGACGCTTCAGTGGTAGTTGAAGGCTGTGTTGTAGTAGACGCTTCAGT